CCTACCCGGCTCGATTCCAGATTAGTCGGTTCTCCTGTGGATCCGGAAACCGGAAGGTCCCTGTACCAACAAAAAGGGTAAAATAACACATGTTCAAATGCGTGTGTGCTATGTACTCGTAAAGTTTGAGAGGTCATACTTCATTATTCTATTTTGGTTAAATTTTTACTTTAAAAGAAAAAAAGCAAATTTGATTTGTTGATGGACCTTACAAATATAAAGTCATTTTAATTATAAACTTTTTTATACTGATCGGAATAAATAAATTTCTAATTTAATTGGCGGAGAAATAGATGAAATAGCATAAATATAAATTTCGACCTATTTAACATGCTTATTTATGGTGGAGACGAGATCGTTGTTAATATCCGAGTTAGCCCGGGATGAACCGGGAAGACATTGCCTACCAAGATTCGGGCTGAGGACCCGGTCCGACACAGAAATGTCGAGCTGAACCGAGAAATTAAGTACTCAGGACCTCCACGGGAACGTTTCCCGAGGTCAACACTCGGCTCAGTACATGCACAAGCCGACCTGGATGGGTGCCAGGCTGAAAGAGGAATCCTGGGCGTCCCATAAGTATATTCAAGAGAAGTGTCGACCTGAAGATCCGGAGCGGCCATCTCGAAGGCAAGGACAAGGCTCGGTAAACATTAAAATATTCTCACTTAGAAGGTCATCATTGGATGATGGGACGGAATGTCATAGTCTACTACCCTACATCAAAGCCTAGTCAGAGAACCTGCCAGCATTAAATGCCCCTCATGCTCGCACTAAATGCCTGACAGGCAATGATTGAAGAAACCTCAAATCGCATTAAATGACTATCAGGGAGTCGTCGAACTGCTCTGTGGAATTACTGTATGACAAGACGGGTGAACAATACCTGAACAATGCAGTATTAAAGGACACTATAAAAATGCAGCCTACTTCATTTATTTTGGGTTGTTGAATCTCAACTAACTCTGTCTTCTCTCTACTTTCTCTCTCTAAAAACTGTAAGAAATCTCTTGTAAGAATTGTAAGTATATCACAAGTGCCGACCTCGTACGAGAGGCCGACCTCGTAATCGTTCAATAAAATCGTAATTAAACTATATTTTTCCTTTGCTTTCAGTCCCGCACTTTTATTATTTATTATTCTAACCGCTGACCGAAAACACTCGTCAAGTACTTGCCTTTTTTGGAAAAATTTGATCGAACGTTGTCTCTAGCTTGATTATTTATTTCTATAACTATCATTATTATTTTATTAAGTTGGTAGGAGAATATTTATTTTTATTTGGTATTTTCTTGTCTCGCAAGTTGGGTATTTAGACATGTTGGGACTCTGTTTATTTTTGTTCTTGTGGCCTATAGCCGCGGATTTTGGATTGAATAAACATACGATTTCGAGATTTTATTCTCTTCTTGTTCCCGTTCATACGTCGCGTTGCATCAACTGGTATCCAGAGACAGGGACAATCCAAGATGCCGCCGCGAAGAAACGATACTACTGACGACAGGCGCGACATCGCCATCGAGTCTTTGAATCGGCAAGTCGAGGGGTACGACCGACAATTTCAAGCGATCGGTCACAAGATGCCGGTCTTGCCCTACGAAATGGTATATATACTCTAATTGGCCCTGCGCATATGGAGGGATTTTTTTAGGGGCATAGTTACAGTGGTAACATTTGGAGAGATTCCAAACCAGGACCTCAAGCCAAATCCTTTAACTAGCTAGGTTGGCTCCAATGGCTGTCTTTGTTGGATTTTTACGTCAGGATGTCGACACTTATTGTCCAAGTTTTGTGTGGGATGGGTGAAAACTTCCTTGGTGGGAGACCTCTTTCGTTTTTTCTTATCGTTGGATATTTAGCTCGACGTTGCAGTTGCGGCGGAGGAGAAGATTAGAATTCGGGGACAACTCCTCATTTTTGCAAAGGCACCAACGTATTTCTGGATTTGTTTAGCGGAAAGTTATTTTCAAGTTTTTGAGTTCTCATACTAGAAGCATTGGTTTGCGATTCGTTTTGATTTGGGCTAGTTTTCTTTAATTGTTTGGTAAGATAGTTGGCGAGCATGGTGTTTTTCATTTTTATAGTTAGTGGTTGAGTCTATTTTGTAACTTTTTGTTTTTGTCTCGACCAATCTTCTGCATTATTGTTAGTTTTGACTGGTGCGAAGAGTCCAAAGATTGATCTAGTTCTAGATTTTTTTTTAGTAGTTTTATAATATTGTTATTATTGAGAAAAATAAGGCTCGCGAATAAGAGTAATACTTTATTTTTAAAAATATTGCAGATAATTCAAGAGCGCTTGAATGAGATGAATTGAGTCTCTTCCAGCTTAACCAGTGGTCTCGAATTCGAGCCCTGGGAATGCAGCAGTGTTAAAACTCTTGAGGGAGAGCTTTGCCGCCCTTGTGGTCCTACCCGACTCGATTCTGGATTAGTCGGTTCCCTATGGATCCAGAAACCAGAAGGTCCATGTACCAAAAAAAAATAGTGCAAATATATATGTATAATATACTATACAATTCATATTTTTGTTTGTATAACATATTTTAAAATAGACAAACTAATATGTAGTTTACACTTTCACCCTAAATTTTCGCTTAAATTACAACGTGACCCCTTCCTTTGTGCCATCTGGTTTAAAACAAAAATAAAAGAAGGAACTGAGAGACAAATCTGACCGGAAAGCAAATTCGCAAGCGCAAGCTCCGCCGGCTCGCCTCCGCTTGTTGGCTGAGGAGAGGATCAGTTTGGTTACCCGAGCTGCTGCATAAGGTATTCCCTGGCCTCGCTAAAGATCCAAACTGGATGCCGACAGAATCATACTTATAGCCCTAACTTTTATTTGGTTTTGCGCATCACTGTTGATAATTTGTCTGTTAGACTCACAACACTGGCATTTGAGGACGTATAGACTGAGATTGATTGTTTTTCTTTTGTTTTTTACGATGACTGTTCAGTTTCGTTTATAGCGTATTGAATTTTTTAGTTTTGTAATTAGCCCGGTTATATTTTCTCTCTGTGCAGGCTTATAGTTCTTTGCTCATAATTTCAGGGGTCTTGGGTTGATTATGCTAGAAACTAATTGACGAGTGTAAATGCGATAAAAGTTTCTTTAGTTGTGGAGCCCTTTATGGTTCTTTTCAGATTATTGTTTGGTATGCTTGAGCTTTTAGCTTGGAGTTTCAGATGAGAAAGATGCAAAATGACTGAACAGATTTGGATAGACAGAGTGCTTCCTGGATTTTTGTTCTGATTTCTTTTTAATCTGTGATATGAGCGGTGTTCGTTGCTCTTTAATATGATGCTGCATTTAAAGATGAGACATATGTGTGTCCATTGCACTGGCCTTGTGAGAATTTTTCCGGTCATAATCAGTGGATGGCGTGAGTAGTGTGTATTTACTAAGATATTTCATATGCTCCTGCAGTTTTTAGTTTAAACATACTGTAGAAAAATTGAAAATACAATTTCCTCTTATCCAGAAACAACCTCGTGTTTCTTCCGAAGAAGTGATCCCAGTTGATTGAAAAAAGCAGGTCCCTGAATGTTTTCTGGAAAGCTTCCTGAAAACTTTGATAATCAGTATGCAACTTTATTTGCTTCTTGAATACTATACTGTGTAATCTGTGTCTGTAAGTTTCTTAAAACAACCAGTTGTTTGCATTAAAGAGTGTTGAGGCCTTTATTCTGTCAGAAGAACTTATGAACTTGGATATCTTGTTTAATGAAGATCCCTCGGCACCTGGCTATGGACCACTGCCTAGAAATTGTAAAATGGCAGTACCACCTGATTTCATGATCCTAAGCACCACATGTAGTTTGAGTAATTTCTGCCTTGTATTGTCTAGATAATCTGCTGCACCTGGTTTACTGAAATTCGTGGTATTTATCTATTTATTGGTTTCCTATGGTTTAGTTATGATTTATATATATTTTACATTGTTATTAATTATTTTTAGGGTTAGGTACTGAAAATATAAAGTGGATAGCAAATCTATGCTCCATTCATGTACAAATCCCACATATTTTTGCCCAAAAATAAGATTTTACTGCATATTTACGTTTTGTGCTGTATCAACGGTAAGGCTTTTGCTATGTATTACTTGATACAACTTGTTTGCGTTGAGCTGATTATTTCTTTCTACTATATTAGCTTCCACTAGTATTTAGTTTTATTTAACCTCAAATGGCTATCAAGGTGCTTCCTGTGCAATTAACATATGACATGCTCTAAACTCCTATTTGTGATGCTTCTTTGATCCTTACATATTTTTTGGTGAAGATAAACAATGGCCTTCACGTTCCTGGTTTGCTCGGTACCTGAGAAAATATTGATTCATTATATTGACTGGTAACAGCATATTCATTGATGCTCAATGAAAGACTCGAAAAAATGTGCTTTGTACATCTGAAGAATATTTATTCACCTCTAATGTCATGCGAACTGTATGGTGTTTTGGAATAATATTGTTAATCTATCAGGTGAGGTAAAATTTCCAGCATCATGGGTGAATCATTCACAATTCAGATCAGCAGTGACTTAGTCCGGCACCTTGTTGAAGATGCTGAGAAGGTAAAAAAGAAAACCAGGAAGCCAAAACCGAAAATCAGCAGAGAGCCATTACAGGTCCCAGATGACAATTCAAATTTGCTGAAAGGACCACCTTCAACCGGTTGGCCCATTCAGCCTCCTCTGTACCTTCAGACTCGAGCTCCTCAACAGCCCACGAATGCAGAGTTGGAAGCAATCTGGTCTGCTCTTGAGGCAAGCGAGAGGGTAGTGGAGAGGCTACAAAAGCAGGAGGAGAACATGCTAAACGAGGTCACTCAAAGGGCTAAGGAACTTCATGATAAGGAGTTCAAGCTCCCAAACAGCAAACCTTTGCCGTGTTTGGACGAGAAAGATGCATGTGTGAAATGCTACAAGGAAAATACCAAGGACCCATTGAACTGTGCCCAGTTGGTCGAGGGTTTTGCAGAATGTGCACGCAGAGTTAGGCAGCAAGTTGGTGCTAAGAATAACTAGTTGTTTTGAACCATTTAGTGGGGCTTTTGATTGAAACTTTGTTTTTGCTTACAAATGAGCATATGTATCGTCTTGCTGTTTGCTATTCAAGTAAGCTGTGGAAGAGTTGAGAACTTCGTGGGTTGCTACTGATGCAAAGTTTGGATGAGTTGTGAAAGATGGAATTCTTTTTTGAAGAGAATTTTTGAACTGTGTTTAGGGATTTTCTATGCTGAATTATAGATCTGTTGGGTTTATATTTGGTGAATTGTGGAGAGTGTGACCGTGGTTAGAAATTTAGATATTCTGCTACGTCTCTCACATCCAGAGGAGAGCACACATTTTGATAAATTCAGAACCTTTATTTTGATGTTCTTTCTCCACGAGTCTTTCTCCATACTAGTAGACATCTTGTGAACGTGCACAGATGTATATAAAATATTATAAGCAATTTGAGAATTTAATATTAAAATTCTAGATAATGAACATATTATATTTTTAAAATTTAATCATTAGGAAAAATAAATTAACGTTTTTATTATTATGAACAATTGTTTATTATCATTAGATAATAACAGTTTAATTATTATTATTATTATTATGATTATTATTATTATTATTATTATTATTATTATTAAAATAATTATTTATAAGATTCTAAAGTTGTTTAACTATGTTATTAAAACAATTTACTAATTGCTTTAAAGAAATTTTTTCATGAGATACAAAAGAAAATATAATATTGATGTTAATATAAAATGACTTGAAACAATTGTTTATAATTATGTAATTTGTATTTACTGAAAATTATTATTAGTTGGTATTAGCATTAACTGTTATATAATATAATAGAAAAATACATGATTACACTTAATAGGATGTATTAATATGAGAAGTAAAAAAATATCAATGACAAATTTTGTAACCGAATATAGAGGAAAAATTTTAGAGGTTTTATTAAATAGGTAAATTAAATGCTAAGCTAAAAACTTTATATACTAGTATTTAATCCTGTGCATTTGCACAGATATAAAACACGTTTTTGTTTGTATTTATTAATTAGACATGTAGTTCTATCATATAAAAATTATTATTTTTATTTAAGTTATTTTTATCATTCAAAATTAATTGAAATTTAAATTTTATTTTAACCATGCAAGATTTACATTAGTAACATGAATAAAATAATTTATATATTTGTGGCATATATTAAGAAAATTAACATAAATAAAAAAATTATTGGTGTTTCTGATTTTTAGAAAAAAAAAAAATATGTGTCAATCATATTTTCTTTCAACAATGCAACCAAATATAGCGATTACAACTCTGAATGTGTCAATCAACTTTAAGTTCCAACATTAGCCGTTACAAATTTGAATATTTTGCTACCAAATTTAGAATTCATTTAGTAATTGATCCAAAAAATAAATAATATAAATATATATATTGAGGTGTAACGCTTTTAACAGATTAATGAGTAATTAATTAAAAAAAATGTAACCCTCTTTGGAGGGAAATGAAAATAGGTTTTATTAAATGTTTTATTAAATGCATTAGCTACTAATTATATATATATAGATATGTATATTATTATTATTATTATTATTATTATTATTATTATTATTAAGAAACAATTGTTTATAAGATTCTAAAGTTATTTGACTATGCTATTAAAACATTTTACTAATTGTCTTAAAAAAAATCATGAGATACAAAAAAAAAGATAATATTGATGTTAAAATAAATAACTTGAGACAATTGTTTATAATTATGTAATTTATATTTATTGTAAATTATTAATAATTAGTATTAGCAATAACTATTATATAATAAAAACATACATGATTACACTCAGTATGATGTATTATTGTGAGAAGTAAAAAGTATTAATGATAAATTTTGTAACCGAAAATGGAAGAAAAATTTTAGATGTTTTATTAAATATGTTTTATTAAATGCTATATGCCAGCAGTTATATATATATAGATTTAGTTTGGGTGCTCGCTTTCTTGCTACTAATTGTCTATTTGCCTATTTGGTTATTAGGCCTCATTTGAAACTCGCTTGTCAAAATGGGCTTAAACCCAAGACCTTTGAGCTGGGCTAAATTTTTTTAGAGGCCCACTGAAAAACAACGGGCCCAAAAGGGTCAACCCGTATAGGCCACTCAAAAGGGCCAACCCATATAGGCTATAGAGAGTATAGAGGACAGTATTACAAAGACCAATAATTATCGAAATATTATCGAGAAAACATTGAAAACCAAAAAATAGCACAGTGCGATGAAAATAAAGAACACAATGTAAAAATTGGATATAAATAAAGAACACAATGTAAAAATTGGATATAAATTGTAAGATGCTTTTTATTTCTTTTCCTTCTTCCTTTTCTTCCGTCCCTACAATGCACCATTTCTCTTGCCTTTTATAGGCAAAATTCATGCATTATTGACCATTTCCATGCACACATTTCTATATATCATGATAAGATAAAATAATAATGTTACTAGTGGTAAAATTCCACTTGTCTATAACACACAGAATATTATTTATTTACAAAATATCTTAAAACCGAAAAAACACTTGAAGCATAACTAACTTCATCAATCAACCAAGTCCTACTAACTCCTCCTACTCCAAAATGAACAACAAAAACAGAATATAAATAGAAACCTGAACCATCCCTTTGACTTGACTTGCATCAGGAAGTGTCGACCCCATTGTCAACCCTCCTAAACCTGAACCATCCCTTTGACTTGCAAAGCCTCATCA